GGTGTGGTGTGGGAGTGTGGCTGGGTGTGGTGTGGGAGTGTAACAGGTGTGGTGTGGGAGGTGTGGGGTGTGTGGGAGTGTAGCAGGTGTGGTGTGTTGCAGGTGTAGTGTGTGGGAGTGTAACAGGTGTGGTGTGTAGCTGGGTGTGGTGTGTGGGAGTGTAGCAGGTGTGGTGTGTTGCAGGTGTAGTGTGTGGGAGTGTAACATGGTGTGTTGCAGGTGTAGTGTGTTGCAGGTGTGGTGTGTGGGAGTGTAGCAGGTGTGGTGTGTTGCAGGTGTAGTGTGTGGAGTGTAACAGGTGTGGTGTGGGAGTGTAGCAGGTGTGGTGTGTGGGAGTGTAATAGGTGTGGTGTGGGAGGTGTGGTGTGTGGGAGTGTAAGGTGTGGTGTGTGGGTGTGGTGTGTGGGAGTGTAACAGGTGTGTGGTGTGTTGCAGGTGTGGTGTGTGGGAGTGTAGCAGGTGTGGTGTGTTGCAGGTGTAGTGTGTGGAGTGTGGCTGGAGTGTTGGGAGTTAACAGGTGTGTAGTGTGTTTGTGTAGCAGGTGTGGTGTGTTACAGGTGTGGTGTGTGGGAGTGTAACAGGTGTGGTGTGGGGAGTGGTAGCAGGTGTGGTGTGTTGCAGGTGTGGGTGTGTGGGAGTGTAGCAGTTGTGGTGTGTTGCAGGTGTGGTGTGTGGGAGTGTAGCAGGTGTGTGGGTGTGGGAGTGTAGCAGGTGTGGTGTGTTGCAGGGGTGCACAGGGAGTGTAGCAGGTGTGGTGTGTGGGGTGTAGCAGGTGTGGTGTGTGGGAGTGTAGCAGGTGTGGTGTGATGCAGGTGTGGTGTGTGGGAGTGTAGCAGGTGTGGTGTGTGTGGGAGTGTAACAGGTGTGGTGTGGGGTGTAGCAGGTATGGTGTGTTGCAGGGTGTGGTGTGTGAGAGTGTAGCAGGTGTGGTGTGTTGCAGGTGTGGTGTGTGGGGTTAACAGGTGTGGTATGGGGTGTAGCAGGTGTGATGTGTTGCAGGTGTGGTGTGTGTGGGGTGAACAGGTGTGGTGTGTGGGAGTGTAGCAGGTGTGGTGTGTTGCAGGTGTGGGGTGTGTGGGAGTGTAGCAGGTGTGGTGTGGGAGTGTAGCAGGTGTGGTGTAGAGTGTAGCAGGTGTGGTGTGGAAGTGTAGCAGGTGTGGTGTGTTGCAGGTGTAGTGTGTGGGAGTGTGGCAGGTGTGGTGTGGGAGTGTAACAGGTGTGGTGTGGGAGTGTAGCAGGTGTGGTGTGTTGCAGGTGTGGTGTGTGGGTGTAGCAGGTGTGGTGTGTTGCAGGTGTAGTGTGTGGGAGTGTAGCAGGTGTGGTGTGGGAGTGTAGCAGTTGTGGTGTGTTGCAGGTGTGGTGTGTGGGAGTGTAGGTGTGGTGTGGGAGTGCAGCAGGTGTGGTGTGGAGGTGTAACAGGTGAGGGTTTGGGAGTGTAGCAGGTGTGGTGTGGAAGTTTAACAGGTGTGTTGTGGAGTGTTACAGGTGTGGTGTGGGAGTGTAGCAGGTGTGGTGTGGAGTGTAACAGGTGAGGTGTGGGAGTGTAGCAGGTGTGGTGTGGAGTGCTACAGGTATGGTGTGGGGTGTAGCAGGGGTGTGGTGTGGAGTGTAGCAGGTGTGGTGTGGAAGTGTTACAGGTGTGGTGTGGAAGTGTAGCAGGTGTGGTGTGGAAGTGTAGCAGGTGTGGAAGCGTAAGGAAGTCACACATATCTAGAACTGAAACTGTGTGAGAGAGAGAGAGAGAGAGAGGGGAGGGAGGGAGGGAGGGAGGGAGGGAGGGAGGAAAGGAGTGGAGGGAGTGGAGGGAGGGGAGGGAGGGGCCACTGTCCAGGCCAACACACCATTATACGAATACCAAGAGGTTTTTTCGCCTTCTTAATCGCTATGGTTATTATTTATCATGGCGCTCTCTCCTCCATACGCCACTATTGACGCATCTCCCGACTTGCCTCAGTGCTGCGCCATAATGCTACAGGCGTTGTGGTATGCGACTCCTGAACCTTATTTTTGCTTGTCTAATAATGTGTGTGTGTGTGTGTGTGTGTGTGTTATGAGGTCCAAAGGTGTAACAGCCCAACCTCCATCACCACACCACCACCACCTATACACCTTCACAACACCACCAACACCTACACACCACCAACACCACCTACAGATATACCAGCCCTACTTCCCTGTATACCTCCGCCTTTCTTGCCCCAATACTTCGCTCCAGTCCAGTACACCACCTCCAGTTATGTCGAGTCCCATCCGTGTTACAAAAAAGAGAATCCTGTGTTTTTATTTTACATCCGTGTTACAAAAAAGAGAATCCTGTGTTTTTATTTTACATCCGTGTTACAATAAAGAGAATCCTGTGTTTTTATTTTACATCCGTGTTACAAAAAAGAGAATCCTGTGTTTTTATTTTACATCCGTGTTACAAAAAAGAGAATCCTGTGTTTTTATTTTACATCCGTGTTACAATAAAGAGAATCCTGTGTATTTATTTTACATCCGTGTTACAAAAAAGAGAATCCTGTGTTTAGGGTTTTGGTAAAGTAAACAACGTCTATTTAACATCACTTTTTATTGGGTATATTGACCATTTCTCCCCCTACCCTTTATCTATCTATCTATCTATCTATCTATCTATCTGCTCTCTTCATATTCCACATCTTCTGGCCTCCACTTCGTCTGGCCTCCACGTCGTCTGGCCTCCACGTCTTCTGGCCTCCGTCTTCTGGCCTCCGTCGTCTGCCTCCACGTCTTGCTTCGTCTTTCCTCCATTCGTCTGCTCCACGTCGTCTGGCCTCCACGTCGTCTGGCCTCCGTCGTCTGGTCTCCCGTCGTCTGGTCTCCCGTCGTCTGGTGTCCTCGTCGCCCACGTCGTCTGGCCTCCACGTCGTCTGGTCTCCGTCGTCTGGCCCCACGTCGTCTCTCCACGTCGTCTGGCCTCCACGTCGTCTGGCCTCCCGTCGTCTGGTCTCCCTCGTCTGGCCTCCATGTCGTCTGGTCTCCATGTCGTCTGGCCTCCGTCGTCTGGCCTCCACGTCGTCTGCCCTCCGCGTCTTTTCGCCTCCAGTTGTTGTTGACCTCCATATCGATGACCTCCACGTCTTCTGGCCTCCACTTGTTGATGACCTCCCACGTCGTCTGGCCTCACTTGTTGACCTCCACTAGATGACGATCTCCACGTCTCCTGGCCTCTACGTCGTCTGGCATCCACATCTTCTGGCCTCTCGTCGTCTGGCCTCTACGTCGTCTGGCATCACATCTTCTGGCCTCTACGTCGTCTGGCCTCCCGCGCCTTCGCCTCCCACTTGTTGATGACCTCCACGTCTTCTGGCATCCACTTGTTGATGACCTCCACGTCTTCTGGCATCCACTTGTTGATGACCTCCACGTCTTCTGGCCTCCACTAGATGATAGCCTCCGTCTTTTGGTCTCCACTTGTATATGACCTCCACGTCTTCTGGCCTCCACTAGATGACGACCTCCACGTCATCTGGCCTTCACTAGATGATAGCCTCCACGTCGTCTGGCCTCCACTTGATGACTTCCACATCTACTGGCCTCCACTTGTTGACCCCATGTCGTCTGGCGTCTACGTCTTCTGGCCTCCACTTCGTCTGGCCTCCACTTGTTGTAGACCTCCACTTTGTCTGGCCTCCACTTGTTGTAGACCTCCACTTTGTCTGGCCTCCACTTGTTGTAGGCCTCCCACTTGTTGACGTCTACGCCGTCTGGCCTCCGTGTTGACCTCCATGCCGTCTGGCCTCCACTTGACCTCCACGTCGTCTGACCTTCACTTGTTTTTATCTCCCGTCGTCTGGCATCCATGTCTTCTGGCCTCCACTTGATGATTACCTCCACGTTGTCTGGCTTCCACTTGTTGACCTCCATACCGTCTGGCATCCATATCTTCTGGCCTCCACTTGACCTCCACGTCGTCTGGCCTCCACTTGATGACCTCCACGTCGTCTGGCCTCCACTTGTTGATGACCTCCACTTCTTGTTGACCCCCACGTCATCTGGCCTCCACTTGTTGATGACCTCCACTTGATAATGACCTCCACGTCTTCTAGCCTCTTCTGGCCTCTACGTCGTCTGACATTTACGTCTTACAGCTTCCACTTGTTGTTGACCTCCACGTCGTCTGACATCCACGTCTTATGGCCTCCACTTGTTGTTGACCTCCACGTCGTCTGGCCTCCACTTCATGACGGAGGTAGTGTGTGTGTGTGTGTGTGAATTCCTAAATATCACCACATACAGCAGCTAGTTTATTGTGCACCCCATACTCATCCTGCGAGCGGTAACGGAAGAGGATCAGAGTAGAGGTCACAAAAGGTGTGTCTAACAGTCCCGAGTGGTCAGGATATTGTGCCTTTCAATGTAACAGAATATTTCCAGTACTATATGTTGTTTGTTTAGTTCTGCACATACTAGTTGACTTGTTCACACATGCTTGAGTGACATACTGAAGTGTGAGGCTATATGTCTGGCCACACACTTTACATTTGGTTTTGTTCACATCTGCTTGAGGAACATACTGCCAGAGGTACTTATATCCTAACCTTAGTCTAGCGGCTACAACATCTTGTAATCTAGTGATATTGTTACTTGTTCCATATACATGTGTTACTTGATACATCTCATCATGGTAAACAATGGATCGACTAGTGCCTGTTTGCACTTGTCTACTGGCGTCATATTAACCAACAAGTTCTTTTTTGATTACACACTTAGAGGTTCTTTCGACAAGACCCAAATTGGATTAAAGTTTCTTTGTTATATGGGTGTGTGGTGGGAAGGTCAATGGGTGGGAGGTGAGTGGGTGGGAGGGTGAGGTGGAGGGTGAGTGGTGGGAGGGTGAGGGTGGGAGGGTGAGGGGTGAGAGGGCAGGTGGTGGGAGGATGAGCGGTTGGTAGGGGTGAGGTGGGAGGATGAGTGGCTGGGATGGTGAGTGGGTAGGATGAGTAGTGGAGATGGTTTTAGGCAGAGTTATGGGAGCCAGCATGGTGCAGAACGGAGGTGGATGTGATTTGGGTGGGTTGATGGATGGGTTGGCCATAAAGCTCTCTATGGTATTTTGCTGATGTACAATGCCCACCACGTCTTGGCTGACAACGTAACCCCATAGGCGAACAGTAGCCTGGACTTGAGGTGTGTGGGAGGCGAGATGTGGCGGGTAATATGCAGAGCCCAGTACCCCAAGTGTGTCCACCTTCAGATAATCGGGTTAAGCATCGCCGACGGGGACTCCTGCCATCCGCCGCCCCCGACCCGCTCTGTTGACATCGCGACGTCGGCCCGACTCCTCCTGGTGAGACCGACCACTGCCCGACTCCTCCTGGTAGTGACCGACCACTGCCCGACTTCCTCTGTAGTGACCGACCACTACCCGACTCCTCCTGGTAGTGACCGACCACTACCCGACTCCTCCTGGTAGTGACCGACCACTGCACGACTCCTCCTGGTAGTGACCGACCACTACCCGACTCCTCCTGGTAGTGACCGACCACTGCCCGACCTCCTGGTGACCACCACTGCACGACCTCCTTGTAGTGACCGACCACTGCCCGTCCTCCTGCTAGTGACCGACCACTGCCCGATCCCTCCTGGTAGTGACCGACCACTACTCGACTCCTGGTAGTGACCGACCACTGCCCGACTCTCCTGGTAGTGACCGACCACTGCCCGACTCTGGTAGTGACCGACCACTACCCGACCTCCTGTAGTGACCGACCACTGCCCGACCTCCTGGTAGTGACCGACCACTACCCGACTCCTGGTAGTGACCGACCACCACCACCTCCTGGTAGTGACCGACCACTGCCCGACCTCCTGGTAGTGACCGACCACGACCGACTCCTGGTGGGACTGACCACTCACCTGACTCCTCCTGGTAGTGACCGACCACTGCCCGACTCTCCTGTAGTGACCGACCACTGCCCGACTCCTGGTAGTGACCGACCACTACCCGACTCTCCTGGTAGTGACCGACCACTACCCGACTCCTCCTGGTAGTGACCGACCACTACCCGACTCCTCCTGGTAGTGACCGACCACTGCCCGACTCTCCTGGTAGTGACCGACCACTACCCGACTCCTCCTGGTAGTGACCGACCACTACCCGACTCCTGGTAGTGACCGACCACTACCCGACTCCTCCTGGTAGGACCGACCACTGCCCGACTCTCCTGGTAGTGACCGACCACTACCCGACTCCTGGTAGTAGTGACCCACAACAACGACCATTACCCGAAAATATCCTCCTTAATACTGTAATTTTATTCTGCCGGACGACCAATATATGTGTGTGTGTGTGTGTGTGTGTGTGTGTGTGTGTGTGTGTGTGTGTGTGTGTGTTAGTAGCTATGGTCTCAACACTGGTAGTAGTCGACAGAGGAACGATACAGTATATAGTACTAGCAAATAATGAATGTACCAAATATTGCGGAGTATGAGGGAGTGAATGAGTGTGTCCCTGAGAAAGGTGGAGTGGGGGAGGGAGGAGCTTGGGGGGGGCCTCTCTCCTGGCCTGGAGGAGCACCTTACCATCACTTACCTGTCTGTCACACACATGAGGCCTTTACTCTACCTGTCAGTAAAGTTAACAAGATGCATCATATGAAGAACACACACAAAAAAACACAAAGTCCGGACCTCACTAAGGTGTATCGTCATGCTGGGGATACACAAACGTGAGGTACACTACACTACACACACACAGGGCAGCGGCAGGCAGGACAAGAGGCCAGCTACCCCACGCCATGCACCCAACATGCACACTCACCACTTCATACATAAACACAGACGAAGAGAGAGGAGAGGACTAACAGCAGCAGCAACAGTAGTAGTAGTAGTAGTAGTAGTAGTAGTAGTAGTATTAGTATTAGTAGTAGTAGCAGCAGCAGCAGCAGTAGCAGCAGCAGAGAGCAGCAGACAACATAGCGTACGTCTGCTGCCACACTAACTAGCACACACACCTTACCTGTGCAGTCCATTCCTTACTTGCATTACTCTGCTTCTAATGCTCACCACCAACAATATAATAACACAGGTAAGAGAGAGACCATGGTGTAATATCCCTCACCCTTACTTGTGATCGATGCAAGGGGCCCTCACACACAGCCTGGGGCCCTCACACACAGCCTGGGGGCCCCCACATAGCCTGGAGCCCTCACACACACCCCCACACACCCTGGGGCCCACACACTGGGGCCCTCACACATAGCCTGGGGCCCTCACACACAGCCCTGAGCCCCACACACAGCCTGGGGCCCCCACACACACCTGGGGCCCTCACACACCTGGGGACCACAACAGCCTGGGGACCTCACGCACAGCCTGGGGACCTCACACACACAGCCTGGGGCCCTCACATACAGCCTGGCGACCTCACACACAGCCTGGGGCCCCACACACAGCCTGGGGCCCCACACACAGCTTGGGGCGTATTTAATTTAGGTAAAACTTGAATTTCTTCGTTTCTAAATTTCTTAGCTTGTCAAACGATGAGTTAGTGTGAGTGACGGCGAGGGTGAGGGAGGAGTGTGAGTGACGCCAAGGATGAGGGGTGAGTGGCTGGCCCTCCCTCCTGTACCACACTCACACCACTGACGTCAACCCTGGTGCTTCACTAAGGCGGTATATATATTTTTTAAGTGTGTTATATATCGTGTTATTATTACTTACTATCATCATCGTCATCAATACTTCATCATCATCCCAATGCCACATACACATATATATATAATTCTGAACCCCAACTCAAGAGCCCTCCCCTACCACCACCACCCATCTCACCACCAACTACCCCAACCACCCTTACCCTCTCCACCTACCTAACTGCCCACCACTATTAATAACTCCCCCACCGTAAACTCTTACAATAGTTATGAGCGATAGACTGGGGACTATTTTTACTACTACCTTCAAAATAGTCGATCGTCTATTACACCCCTCCCTCCCCCACTCTCTGGTATGTCAACACTGTTTCACGCGTCACTCACCCATTCTCCCTCGTGTTCCGTCCTGGGCAGTGAGTACCAGGCCGTCACCATTCACTCTATCTTGTGTTCCGTCCTGGGCAGTGAGTACCAGGCCGTCACTATTCACTCTATCTTGTGTTCCGTCCTAGGCAGTGAGTACCAGGGCCGTCACTCATTCACTCTATCTCGTGTTCCGTTCTGGGCAGTGAGTACCAGGCGTCACTTCTCGTGTTCGTCCTGCAGTAGTACCAGGCGTCACATACTCTATCTCGTGTTCCGTCTGGCAGAGTACCAGGCCGTCCATTCACATCTCGTGTTCCGTCTGGGCAGACACCACATTCACCTATCCTCTCTGGGCAAGTACCAGGCCACATTCACTCATCTTGTGTTCCGTCCTAGGCAGTGAGTACCAGGCGTCACTCAATCACTCTTCCTGTGTTCCGTCCTGGCCAGTGAGTACCAGGGCCGTCACCATTCACTCTCGTGTTCCGTTCTGGGCAGTGAGTACCAGGGCCGTCACTATTCACTCTATCTGTGTCCGTCCTAGGCAGTGAGTACCAGCCGTCACCAATCACTCTTCCTCGTGTTCCGTCCTGGCCAGTGAGTACCAGGGCCGTCACTCAATCACTCTTCCTCGTGTTCCGTCCTGGCCAGTGAGTACCAGGCCGTCACTCATTCATTCTTCCTCGTGTTCCGTCCTGGGCAGTGAGTACCAGGGCCGTCACCATTCACTCTATCTTGTGTTCCGTCCTGGGCAGTGTGAGTACCAGGCCGTCACCATCACTCTATCTCGTGTTCCGTTCTGGGCAGTGAGTACCAGGCCGTCACCATTCACTCTATCTCGTGTTCCGTTCTGGGCAGTGAGTACCAGGCCGTCACTATTCACTCTATCTCGTGTTCCGTTCTGGGAGTGAGTACCAGGCCGTCACTATTCACTCCATCTTGTGTTCCGTCCTAGGCAGTGAGTACCAGGGCCGTCACCAATCACTCTTCCTCGTGTTCCGTCCTGGCCAGTGAGTACCAGGGCCGTCACTCATTACCTCCCTGTTCCGTTCTGGGCAGTGAGTACCAGGCCGTCACTCATTCACTTCCTCGTGTTCCGTCCTGGCAGTGAGTACCAGGCCGTCACCATTCATTCTCGTGTTCCGTCCTGCCAGTGAGCCAGGGCCGTCACCATTCACTCTATCTTGTGTTCCGTCCTGGCAGTGAGTACCAGGCGCCTCACCATTCACTCTTCCTCGTGTTCCGTCCTAGGCAGTGGTACCAGGCCGTCACCAATCACTCTTCCTCGTGTTCCGTCCTGGCCAGTGAGTACCAGGGCCGTCACTCACCCTCACTACTCCATCACTTCCAGTAGAGCGTGGTATCTCTCGGTTACTCACTTGTAACTCAATTAGGAATCATTAAAACATCCAGGTCATTATAGCACCACTAACTAGTGTGTCATCCAACTCTTATTCAGTGGCATCCACCTTACTGCCCGTCATCCACCTCATATTTCGTTACATCCACCTCCCTACCCGTCATCCACCTCTTCTTTCCCTGCATCCACCTCCTTCCCCATGGCATCCACCTCATCTTTCGTTGCATCCACCTCCCTACCCGTGGCATCCACCTCCCAACCCATAGCATCCAAATTCTGCCTGTAGCATCCACCTCCCAACCTGTGGCATCCACCTACCGCCCGTGGCATCCACCTCCTTGCCCGTGGCATCCATCTACCTGCCGAGTCATCCATCTCCTGCTCGTGCATCCACCACCCTGTCCGTGTGATCCACCTCCCGACCCGCCTCATCTACCTCCTACCCGTGCCATCCACCTTGGCCCTTCTCACCCTCGTATTCTGCAGACCTTCATCTCCCGCCCCGCCATCCAACTCCCTGCCCGTGTCACCCACCTCTTATTCCGTAGGCCACCTCCCTACCCGTAGCATCAACCTCCCTACCTGCAGCATCCAACCTCCTACCCGTAGCATCACCTCCCTACCCGTAGCATCCACCTCTGCCCAGGGCATCCACCTCTGCCCAGAGCATCCACCTCTGCCCGTTGCATCCACCTCCGTGCCCGTGGCATCCACCTCCCTACCCATAGCATCCACCTCCCCACTCTGGCATCCACACTGCCGTGGCATCCACCTCTCCACCCATAGCATCCACCTCCCTACCCGTGGCATCCACCTCCCTACCCCTGGCATCCACCTCCTACCCTCCCTGGCATCCATCCCTACCTCGTGGCATCCACCACTACCAGTAGCATCCACCTCCCTACCCGTGGCATCCACCTCCCTACCCGTGGCATCCACATCCCTACCCGTGGCATCCAGCTCACTACCCGGCATCCACCTCCCCTACCGTGGCATCCACCTCCTACCCGTGGCATCCACCACCGTATCCGTGGCATCCACCTCCCTACCCTTGGCATCCTCCTCCCGTCCGTGACATCCACCTCCCTACCCGTGGCATCCACCTCCCTACCCGTGGCATCCACCTCCCTACCCGTGGCATCCACCTCCCTACCCATGGCATCAACCTCCCTACCCGTGGCATCCACCTCCCTACCTGTGGCATCCCCTACCACCCGTAGCATCCACCCTCTACCTCCCGTAGGCATCAACCTCCCTACCCGTGGCATCCACCTCCCCACCCGTGGCATCCCTCCTCCCGTCCGTGACATCCACCTCCCTACCCCGTGGCATCCACCTCTACCCGTGGCATCCACCTCCGTATCCGTGGCATCCACCTCCTACCCCTTGGCATCCTCCTCCTGTCCGTGGCATCCACCTCCCTACCCTTGGCATCCTCCTCCCTGTCCGTGACATCCACCTCCCACCCGGCATCCACCTTCCTGCCCGTGGCATCCACCTTCCTGCCCTGGCATCCACCTCCTTACCCGTGCATCCACCTCCCTACTCGTGGCATCCACCTCCCTACCCGTGGCATCCACCTTCCTGCCCGTGGCATCCACCTCCTGCCCGTGGCATCCACCTCCCTGCCCGTGGCATCCACCCTCCCCTAACTCCCAGCATCCACCTCCCGTCCGTGGCATCCACCTCCCTGTCCGTGGCATCCACCTCCCACCCTAGCATCCACCTCCTGTCCGTGGCATCCACCTCCTGCCCGTGCATCCACCTCCCTAACCCCAGCATCCACCTCCCTGTCCGTGGCATCCACCTTCTGCCCGTGGCATCCACCTCCCTAACCCTAGCATCCACCTCCCTGCCCGTGGCATCCACCTCCTGTCCGTGGCATCCTCCCAACCCTAGCATCCACCTCCTTCCTGTCCGTGGCATCCACCTTTCCCCTGGCATCCACCTCCTAACCCTAGCATCCACTTCCTAACCCTAGCATCCACCTCCCTAACCCTAGCATCCACCTTTCTGCCCGTGGCATCCACCTCCCTAACCCTAGCATCCACCTCCCACCCGTGGCATCCACCTCCCTATCCGTGGCATCCACCTCCACCTGTATCATCCACTGCCCTATCCGGGCATCAACTCTCCCACCCGGTATCATCCACCTCCCTATCCGGGGCATCAACCTCCCACCCGTATCATCCACCAACCCACCCATCCACCAACCCACCCGTATCATCCACCTCCCTATCCGCATCAACCTCCCACCCCGTATCATCCACCTCCCTATCCGGGGCATCAACCTCCCCACCCGTATCATCCACCAACCCACCCATATCATCCACCTCCACCCATATCATCTACCTCCCCACCCGTATCCACCTCCTCCTGTGGCATCCACCTCCCTGTCCGTGGCATCCACCTCCTTCCCATCCACCTTCCTACCCGTGGCATCCACACCTCCCACCTGTATCCACCTCCCCACTGTGGCATCCACCTCCCTACCTGTGGCATCCATCTTCATGCTCGTGGCATCCACCTCCTGCCCGAGGCATCCACCTCTGTGCCCGTGGCATCCACCTCACCAACCCCAGCATCCACCTCCCTGTCCGTGGCATCCACCTCCCTAACCCCTAGCATCCACCTCCTCCCTGTCCGTGGCATCCACCTTTCTGCCCGTGCATCCACCTCCCTAACCCTAGCATCCACCTCCCTGTCCGTGGCATCCACCTTTCTGCCCGTGCATCCAGCTCCCTAACCCTAGCATCCACCTCACTGTCCGTGGCATCCACCTCCTGTCCGTGGCATCCACCTCCCAACCCAAGCATCCACTTCCCTGTCCGTGGCATCCACCTCCTGTCCGGCATCCACCTGCCCGTGGCATCCACCTCCCTAACCCTAGCATCCACCTCCCTGCCCGTGGCATCCACCCTTCTGCCCGTGGCATCCACCTCCTAACCCTAGCATCCACCTCCTGTCCGTGGCATCCACCTCCCTAACCCCAGCATCCACCTCCCTGTCCGTGGCATCCACCTCCCCTGTCCGTGGCATCCACCTCCCTAACCCTAGCATCCACCTTCTGCCCGTGGCATCCACCTCCCTGTCCGTGGCATCCACCTCCCTGTCCGTGGCATCCACCTCCCTAACCCTAGCATCCACCTCCCCCACCCGTATCATCCACCTCCCCATCCGGGCATCAACCTCCCCACCCGTATCATCCACCTCCTATCCGGGGCATCAACGTCCGCACCCTATCATCCACCTCCCTATCCGGGCATCAACCTCCCACCTGTATCATCCACCTCCCATCCGCATCAACCTCCCCACCCGAATCATCCACCAACCCACCCATATCATCCACTCCTATCCGGGGCATCAACCTCCCCACCCGCATCATCCACCAACCCACCTGTATCATCCACCTCCTCCATCAGGGCATCAACCTCCCACCTGTATCATCCACCTCCCTATCCGGGCATCAACCTCCCACCCGAATCATCCACCAACCCACCCACATCATCCACCTCCTACCCGTATCATCCACCAACCCACCGTATCATCCACCTCCTATCCGGGGCATCAACCTCCCCACCCGTATCATCCACCTCCCTATCCGGGGCATCAACCTCCCACCCGTATCATCCACCTCCTATCCGGGCATCAACCTCCCACCCGTATCATCCACCTCCCTATCCGCATCAACCTCCCCACCCGAATCATCCACCAACCCACCCATATCCACTCCTATCCGGGGATCAACCCACCCACCCGTATCATCCACCTCCCTATCCGGGCATCAACCTCCCACCCGTATCATCCACCTCCTATCCGGGGCATCAACCTCCCCACCCGTATCATCCACCTCCCTCATCCGCATCACCTCCCCACCTGCATCATCCACCTCCCCATCCGGGGCACTCCCCCACCCGAATCATCCACCAACCCACCCATCATCCACCTCTCCACCCGTATCATCCACCTCCCAACCCGTATCATCCACCTCCCACCGTGGCATCACTCACCCCGCCCGCGGCATCCACATTCCTGCCCGTGGCATCCACCTCCCTACCAGTGGCATCCACCTCCTTACCCGTGGCATCCACCTCCCTACCCGTGGCAAACACCTCCCTACCCGTGGCATCCGCCTCCTTACCCTTGGCATCCACATTCCTACCCGTGGCATCCACTTCCTAACCGTGGCATCCACCTCTAAGGCAGGCATCCACCTCCTTACCCGTGGCATCCACCTCCCATCCGTGGCATCCACCTCCTGCCCTGTGGCATCCACCTCCGTGCTCGGCATCCACATTCCTACCCGTGGCATCCACCTCCTCACCCGTGTCATCTACCACCTTACCTATGGATCCACCTCTGAGGCAATGGCATCCACCTGCATGCCCACTGAATCATCCACCAACCCACCCATATCATCCACCTCCACCCGTATCATCCACCTCCCACCTGTATCATCCACCTCCCTTCCCGTGGCATCCACCACCCAACCCATCATCCACCTCCCAACCTGTGGCATTCACCCCTGCCCGTGGCATCCACATTCCTACCTGTGGCATCCACCTCCATGCCCGTGACATCCTCATTCCTACCCGTGGAATCCACCTCCCAACCGTGGCATCCACCTCTGGGCAGTGGCATCCACCTCCTACCCGTGGCATCCACCTCTGCCAGTGGCATCCACTTCCCGACCCGGCATCCACCTCCCTGCCCATTATCCACACCCCCCTGCCCGTGGCATACACCTCCTGCCCGTGGCATCCACATTCCTGCCCATGGCATCCACCTCCCTTCCAGGGCCTCCACATTCCTGCCTGTGGCATCCACCTACCTGCCCGTGGCATCCACTTCCCTACCCGTGGCATCCTCATTTCTGCCCTTTGCATCCACCTCCCTACCTGTAACATCCATCTCCTCACCCGGGCATCCAACATTCCTGCCCGTGGCATCCGCTTCCTACCCGTGGCATCCTCATTTCTGTCCGTGGCATCCACCTCCCTACCGCTGTCATCATCCACCAGCCGGGCATCCAACATACCTGCCCACCATTACCTACCTACCTGGCATCCACCGCCCCCGTGCATTATCCACATCCCCGCCCGTGTCATCCACCTCCTGTCCGTGGCATCCACCTCCCAACACGGCCATGCACATTCCTGCCCATTATCCACATTCCTACCCGTGGCATACAACATTCCTGCCGTGGCATCCACCTACCTGCCCATATCCACCTCCCTGCCCGTACATACACCTTGCTGCCCGTGGTATTCCATCCCTGCCCATTATCCACATTCCCTGCCCGTGCATCCACCCACGTCACATCCACATCCCTGCCCGTGGCATCCACATTCCTGCCCGTGGCATCCACCTACCTGCCCATTCCATCCTGCCCGTGACATACACCTTGCTGCCCGTGGAATTCACATCCTGCCCATTATCCATTCTCCTGCCGTGGCATCCAACTACTTGCCCATCCACATCCTGCCCGTGATCCACATTCCGCCCGTGGCATCCACCTACTTGCCCATTATCCACATCCCGCCCGTGTCCCTGCCCGTGGCATCCACCCACTTGCCCACATCCACATCCCTGCCCGTGGCATCCACATTCCTACCCGCACCACCCTGCCTATTGTCCACTTCCCTGCCTGTGGCATCCACCCACTTGCCCATATCCACATCCCTTCCCGTGGCGTCCACATTCTGCCCATTATCCACATCCCTGCCCGTGGCATCCACTTCCTGCCCGTGGCATCCACTTTCCAGCAGGAACATCCACCCCTGCCCGTGGCATCCACCTCCTCACCCGTGGCATCCACCTCCCTACCCGTGGCATCCACCTCCTACCGTGGCATCCACATTCCTGCCCGTGGCATCCACCTCCCTACCCGTGCATCCACCTCTACGTGGCATCCACTCTCCTACCCGTGGCATCCACCTCCTAACCAGTGTCATCCACGTCCCTGCCCATATCATCGACCTCCAAATCTGAGGCATCCACCTCCTGCCTATAATCCACCTTCTGCCTGAGACATCCACCTCCTGCCCGTGACATCCACTTCCCTGTCCGTGGCATCCACTTCCTGCCCGGACATCCACCTCCCGCCTATAATCCACCTTCATGCCGTGACATCCACCTCCCGCCCGTGACATCCACTTCTGTCCGTGGCATCCACTTCCGCCCGTGGCATCCACCTCCCTGCCATCCACCTCCATGCCCGTGACATCCACCTCCTGCCATTAGCCACCTCCATGCCCGTGGCATCCACTTCCTGCCCGTGGCATCCACCTCCCTGCCTATTATCCACCTCCATGCACATCCACCTCGCCATTATCCACCTCCATGCCCGTGACATCCACCTACTTGCCCATTATCCACATCCCTGCCCTGCATCCACATTCCCGCCCGTGCATCCACCCCAAACAGAACATCCACCCCGCCCGTGGCATCCACCTCCCTACCCGTGCATCCACCTCCCTACCCTGCATCCACCTCCCTACCGGCATCCACATTCCTGCCCGTGGCATCCACCTCCCACCCGTGCATCCACTCCTCCTGCATCCACTCCTACCCGTGCATCCACCTCCTAACCAGTGTCATCCACGTCCCTGCCTATCATCGACCTACAAATCTAGGCATCCACCTCCTGCCTATAATCCACCTTCATGCCCGTGACATCCACCTCCCCTGCCCGTGACATCCACTCCCTGTCCGTGGCATCCACTTCCCTGCCCGACATCCACCTCCTGCCTATAATCCACCTTCATGCCCGTGACATCCACCTCCCCTGCCCGTGACATCCACTCCTGTCCGTGGCATCCACTTCCCCGTGGCATCCACCTCCTGCCTATTATCCACCTCCATGCCCGTGACATCCACCTCCCGCCTATTAGCCACCTCCATGCCCGTGGCATCCACTTCCCTGCCCGTGGCATCCACCTCCCTGCCTATTATCCACCTCCATGCCAGTGGCATCCACCTCCCTGCCCGTGGCATCCACTCTAATGCAGTAACATCCATATTCCTGCCCGTGGCATCCACCTCCCAACCCGTGGCATCACCTCCTGCCCATGGCATCCATCTCCCTACCCGTGTCATCCACTTCGAATACTGCAAACATCCACCTCCCTGCCCGTGGCATCCACTTCTAATACAGTAACATCCACCTCCCAACCCAACTGCCTTTCTTAACTCCATTCCTGCCCACCGTGGCCTTCTATTACCCCCAGCAGCCGTCACCCCCAGCAGCCCTCACTCCCCAGCAGCGCCCTCACTACCCCCAACAGCCTCACTATCCCCCAGCAGCCCTCACACCCCCAGCAGCCCACTACCCCCAGCAGCCCACACCCCCAGCAGCCCTCACTACCCCAGCAGCCCCTCACTATCCTCAGCAGCCCTCACCACCCCCCAACAGCCCTCACTATCCCCAGCAGCCCTCACTACCCCAACAGCCCTCATCCCGCAGCAGCCCTCACTACCCTCCAGCAGCCCTCACTACCCTCAGCAGCCCTCACTATCCCGCAGCAGCCCCTCACTACCCCAACAGCCCTCACTATCCCCAGCAGGCCCTCACCACTCCCAGCAGCCTCCAATCCCCCAGCAGCCCCCTCACTACCCCCAGCAGCCCTCACTCACTCCCCAGCCCCTCACTCACCCCCCAGCAGACCCACCACCACCCCCAGCAGCCCTCACTCACCCCCAGCAGCCCTCACAATCCCCCAGCAGCCCTCACTCACCCCTAGCAGCCCTCTCTACCTCCAGCAGCCTACCACCCCCAGCACTCCACCACCCCCAGCAGCCCTACTATCCCCAGCAGCCCTCACTACCCCCATAGCCTCACTATCCCCAGCAGCCCTCACTACCCCCAGCAGCCCTCCTTATCCCCCAGCAGCCTCACCATCCCCAGCAGCCCTCATTATCCCCCAGCAGCCCTCACTACTCCCAGCAGCCCCTCCTCCACTACCCCCCAGCAGTCCTCACTACATCCCCAGCAGCCCTCACTACCCCAACAGCCTCACACCCCCACCAGCACTCACTGCCTCCAGCAGCCCTCACTACCTCCAGCAGCCCTCATCACCCCCAGCAGCCTCCTCACCACCCCCAGCAGCCCATCATCCCCGCAGCCCTCACTACCTCCAGCAGCCCCTCACTACCCCCAGCAGCCCTCACCACCCCCAGCAGCCTTCCCCCAGCCCTCACTATCCCCAGCAGCCCCTGCTCACCTCCAGCAGCCTCTCACTCCCCACAGCAGCCTCACTCACCCCAGCAGCCTCACTACCCCCCAGCAGCCACTACCCCCAACAGCCTCACTACCCCCAGCAGCCCTCCCTATATCCCCCCAGCAGCCCTCACTACCCCAGCAGCCCTCACTACCCCACAGCAGCCCCTCACTACCCCAGCAGCCCTCACTACCCCCAGCAGCCCCTCACTATCCCCAGCAGCCCTCACACCCTCCAGCAGCCTTCACTACCCCAGCAGCCTCACCACCCCCCAGCAGCCCTCACTCCCCCAGCAGCCCTACTCCCCCAACAGCCCTCACTACCCCAGCAACCCCACTCCCCACTACCCCAGCAGTCCTCACTACATCCCAGCAGCCCTTATCCCCAGCAGCCCTCACCATCCCCAGCAGCCCTATCCCCCAGCAGCCCTCACTACTCTCCAGCAGCCCTCACTCTCCACCACCCCCAGCAGTCCTCACTACATCCCAGCAGCCACTACCCCCAATAGCCCTCACTACCCCTAGCAGCCCTTACCATTCCTCAGCAGCCCTCACTACCCCAGCAGCCTCACTACCCCCAACAGCCCTCCCTACCCCCAGAAGCCTCACTCCCCCAGCAGCCCTCACTGCCTCCAACAGCCCTCACTACCTCCAGCAGCCCTCACTACCCTCCAGCAGCTCACCACCCCACATCCCCAGCCCCCACTACCTCCCAGCAGCCCACCACCCCCAGGCCTAACTATCCCCAGCAGCCCTCACCACCCCCAGCAGCCCTCACCTCCCCCAGCAGCCCCTCACTGCCCTCCAGCAGCCCTCACTACCCCCAGCAGCCACTACCCTCCAGCAGCCTTCACTACCCCCAGCAGCCCTCTACTATCCCCAGCAGCCCTCACTACCTCCAGCAGCCCTCACTCCCCCAGCAGCCCTCCACTCACCCCCCAGCAGCCTCACCACCTCTAGCAGCCTTCACTAAACCCCAGCAGCCTCACACTATCCCCAGCAGCCCTCACTACCCTCCAGCAGCCTCACTACCCCACAGCAGCCCTCACTACCCCCAGCAGCCCTCACTACCCCAGCAGCCTCACTCCCAACAGCCTCACTCACCCCAGCAGCCCCTCATTATCCCCAGCAGCCCTCACTACTCCCCCAGCAGCCTCCTCACTACCCCACAGCAGCCCTCACTCACCTCCAGCAGCCCCTCACTCCCCCCAGCAGCCCTCACTATCCCCCAGCCCCTACACCCTCCAGCAGCCCTCACTACCCCAGCAGCCTCACTCACCCCCAGCAGCCCTCACTATCCCCCAGCAGCCCTCACTACCCCCAGCAGCCCTCACTCACCCCAGCAACCCTCCTATCCTCCAGCAGCCCTCACACCAGCAGCCCTCACTACCCCACACCCCCCCCAGCAGCCCTACCACCCCCAGCAGCTCTCACTACCCCCAGCAGCCCTCACTATCCTCCAGCAGCCCTCACTACCCCCCAGCAGCCCTCACTACCCCAGAGCCTCACCACCCCCAGCACCCTCACTATCCTCCAGCAGCCCTCACTACCCCCAGTAACCCTATCCTCCAGCAGCCCTCACTACCCCAGCTCACTACCCCCAGCAACCCTCACTCCCCCCAGCAGCCCCTCACTATCCCCCAACAGCCCTCACTACCCCCAACAGCCTCACTACCCCCAGGTCTTGACTAATGGCTTCGATTTATAATGGTCAGGAGATGATGCCTCCCAGCGTGTGATCCATTGGCCCTCACCGTCCCTTGCCTTCACCTGCCTCACCACCTGCTCCTACGCATCCCCACTCAACTGCCCTCAACCTTCGGACCTCACCTGTCCTACCATTCACCTGCCCTTACCCATCCCCTTCACCTGCATTTATCCATCACCCCATCACCTGCCCTCAACCTCACCTGCCTTAAACCATCACCCCATCACCTGCCCTCAACCCTCACCTGCCTTAAACCATCACCCCATCACTTACACACCCCACACTGCAACCTCACCTGAACCATCACATCACCCTCACCTCACCTGCCCATCCACCGCCTCAACCCACCTGCCTTAAACCATCACCCCATCCCTCAACCCTCACCTGCCTTAAACACACCCCATCACCTGCCCTCAACCCTTACCTGCCTTAAACCATCACCCCATCACCTGCCCTCACCTGCCCTTACCTGACGAGAGAACATGAGGTGGGGGGGAGAGGGGTAGGAGAAGAGGCCAGAGTACAGGTAAACAGTGTAAATTAACCTCATTAAGATGAACTGAAGCAGCTACCAAACAGGGAGGTACTACCGCCAGGGAAGATATTGGAAGCATAATGTGTTGCCTAATGGTAGACCTGCTGCCATATGTGACCAAGTCCCAGGTTGATGATCTGACTTTGTGCCTCATTTACACACAATTGCAGGGTCTCAATTGTTTCTCTTACTTTGACAACAACACATACATATATTGTTTCTCACTATTGATCTTTTTTTATTTTTTTTATGGTTCGTTATTATTATTATTATTATTATTATTATTATTATTATTATTATTATTATTATTATTATCGCCCCCCAGGCCCCGATGTGGGTCAGTGACCTGTGCCTGGGTGGACTAATCGCAAAAAAGTCTAAACGATATGATAAGATTTGGTAAGTGTGGTCGTGAGTGTGTGGTGGGGTGAGTGTGTGGTGGGGTGAGTGTGTGGTGGGGTGAGTGTGTGGTGGGGGTGAGTGTGCAGGGGTGAGTGTGTGGTGGGGGAGGTGTAGTGTGTGTGGTGGGG